ATAATATATATAAATCTTCGCACGTAAAACGCACGCAGACGTTCGCTTGGGTCGAAAACTATTTAACAACTGAATGCGAATACTCAAAATATTTTGAGCACATATAAAAATAAAATTTGAGAGGAGAGCAATCTACCAGAGGGGAGATAAGAAAAAAAATAAATACAGAAATTAACTCTATAAGAGATCTCTTATACAGATAGTTCTCTTATATAAATAGACTTCAACATTTTAACTTAGTAGGGTTTCTATAAACCAATATAAGAGAAGGCTAGTTTAATAGATGTATATTTAAAATATACCTTTGCTGACATTTTTACTCTTAAGCAAATGTGGAAACTTAAAACATTGCATTACATATTATTTCCAAGATGTACATACATACATATATGATATTTAGATAATTTATAATATAGTTTTAGACTTAGAATTTAGAATTTACATTTCATATCTTTTCAATTTGGGTCAAGGCATAAAAGCTACAAGACGAATAGTGGGATGCAGGAGTTACTACACTAGTTATAATAGGAGCACAACATACGTTCACATACAAAATATCACATAGACTTAGCCAGGGATCGAATCGATTTAATCCCTTTTGTTCTTTTTATTGGATTGCTTGCCGCAACAGCGCCGTATGAGTGCGATCCAACTGCCAACTACCATGGCCAGAATGAGGCCAACGACAACATAGCAGTCCAGCGAATAGTACACAAAGCGGGACAGCTCTACAGCGCTGGATTTCAATAGAGGATCACCGCCAGTGTGAGCCACATGCTCCACCCACCAGATGGCCAGCTGCAGTGCCTGTTGCGGTCTATATTTGAACGAGTGCGAGACGAGCTTGGCGGCATCCACGTGTCTGCAAGCAACGAAGGAATATATGAATGATAGTCACAGTGATCTCAAGACAGCTCAACTCACTTCTTATCCAGCGCTCGCTTCAAAGCTCGCATGACCGTATTCTCGCCAATGTCCTCGTAGTGCAGCAGCACGCCCATGTCACGCTGCACCAGGGCAGCCGCATTCAGGAACTGATCCCCGTACATGGGCGTGGCCACGACGGGCACGCCACAGTAGGCCGCCTCAGAGCTGCCCATGAGGCCGGCATGCGTCATAAAGACCTTCACATTGGGATGGCAAAGGATGTCGCGCTGTGGCAGCCATTTCATGATGTGCAGATTGGGCGGCTTATTCTCGAGCGTCTCGTTCTCCCACTTCCAGATGACTTGCTGCTTGAGACGGGCCACGGCACGCACAATGCCATCGCGCTTTTCCGGCGACAACGAATTGGCGCGTATCATGGAGCCCCAACTAATGAGTATCACCCCGTGCTCGGCATTGTCCAGCAGGCGTTGCAGATCAGCGCTCAATGGATTTGTCTTTTGGATGTGAACGCCGCCCAGCTCGATGACGTTAGGCGGCAGCGGCTTTGGACCGCTCAGCGAGTAGTGTGTGTTCACAAACAAAACGGAGGTATTCTTCGCCAGCTCACCCACCGAGGGCATATTGTGGCCAAACTTGTACTGAACCATTGCATCAGCAGCGGGCACCGATAAGAGCCTAAAGATGTGAAGGAAACAGGTTAATGAGATCTGCTGGCAACACTTTCTTATGGGGCCACCTACTTGTACATCCAGTTAAGCGTATGGAAGCTAAACCAGTTGGCCAATCGTCCGCCAAAGTTCATGTCCTGCGATTGACCCAAAAATAAAACCGGTATATGCGATGGGATTATCGGAGCGCCCATGCGCTCGAAATGCCACGGCATCAGGGAGCAACTGCTTAGGGCAATCACTGGTGCTTGCAGCTGATGTGCCACGCCCATCATGCAATCAGTGTTGAACTGCTCCAAAATGATGACGTCATAGTATCCAGCCTTGCGCTTCATGACCGTCTGCAAAGCCTCGGAACGTAAGGTCGAATTGCAAGCCTCCTTGCCCCATTCGTAGAGAAGAAAGAACTCGATGAAGTGCTTATAGAAGGGACGCTTGTCGAAGAACTGAAAGAGGTAGATAGACAGAGTGAGCGAATGTGTAAGAGAAAAAGTCAGTCGGAACGACGGAGAGAGAGAGAGAGAGAGAGAGAGAGGAAGTTACTGCAGCTGAAATTAAGATTTCAGGTTTTTCATGATGAATTTGCAAATGAGTCGCGAGTGTGAAATGAAAAAGAACTGATAATAAAAATAAGTAGCCTGTAGACATACATTTTTACAACATATAATCTGGAAACTAAATTAGGTTTAAAATTGCTCATTACAGATGATAAAAGTTACATATGATCTAGAATTCCTAAGTTTACTTTCACTTTGTGCAGGGTATGTAAAAAATAAGTGACAATAAATCTCAGCGCATGAAACAATCAAATACGTCTAATACACCCATTAGTCTATTTTCATTTGGTACAGAGTATATAACGCAAAAGCGAAAGTAAATTTCAGCACAGAAAACAATTGTATTTTAACGTAGCTCGCGGCAATCCCTGAGCTATGTGCCGGCAATGCACCTCAAATACAATAGTTGTGCGTGGAATTACAATAAAATCAAAATTAACTAGCTTACCTTCAAGTCGACGCTGTTAGTCAGCTTCTCTATGCCTGTTAGCGGGAAGTCCTTGTAGCGTGCAGTTGGAATTTTAGCCGGAAAATGGCTAACGACGCTGACTTCATGCCCTGCCTCGGCCAGACCCTGCATGATGGGTTGAAAGAAATGGAAGTGACTGACGCCGGGGTGGGGGAACAGGCCCAGAATTTTTAGCGGCCGACCGGCGTCCACTGAGACGTGTGCCTGCAGCAACAGCAGCAGCGGCAGCAGAGCTGCCAGCAGCGAACGCAACTGCAGCATTATTTTATATGTGTTTTGTTTCTGTTGGCATGCGTGATAAATTTAAAATTAGAACAAAAAAAGAAGAAGAAAAAAAAAATTAGCGAACGAATGAACTAATCAAAGAAAATTGCAAAATAACACTTGTTGCATTTAATTGTTGCAAATTCTTAACCTTCGATGCAATTTGCACTGCGCATGCCTCAAAATTATGTAAATAATTGCAATGTGAAATTGCATGGAAAGTCCCCAAATCGCTGTTAACTTACAACGTATCAACCAAATCTGTGACGAAATTGCGCTAATTGAGTTTGTGAATGAAGCGGCACTCGAGAAATCAATCAAATGCGGAGCTTTATTGAAAACACAATTATTAAAATACCAAACAAACTGCAAGCCTCTTGTGCGCTTCGCAATCGACAAACGACTGACAAGAGCCATGTAGTCGCAGTCACAGTGCAACCCAAAAGCCGTTGACTGCGCTGCCGCTGAACATTCGAAATTGAGCTTATGTCAACGATCAAGGGCGCATTGTCTATTTTCTACACTCACGCATTTATTACACTCTCTTTTTCGACGAAGTTGCCGAAATGCTGCTGGCTGCAACGACGCGTCGCGAATCGCGATTCCCGACGCTCCATTATCCGAAAGTGAGCGCAACTTGTACATGTATATGTGATCTCTCTCACAGTTTGTGCACTTGCATTGCTTCAATTCGAGCGGCTCTCCCAAATTTTGCTCAGTCAGCAATTGCACACATGCACGCACATACGGTTCTTCTTTTACTCTTTTACTCATACAGAACATGAGGAAGAGTATATTGATTTCGGGCTGTGTCTGTTCGTTGGTTTTGCTCTGTACTCATACAGCTTGCGCACAGAGTATTGCAGAGTCAGTGCCCGGTTGCAATGCTCTTTTCTTTTACTTCCTATATGAATTTCTGTATATGTGAATACAATCGCATTTTTGGGGGCTTCAACCTGAGCGCTGAGCAACCGGTTGCAGCTTAGTCTGAGACGCATAAAAATTGCATTTTATTGTTTAACCATCGCTCTTATCGGTTATAATTTAGCTTAGAAGCAGACAGCTGAGAGCTGTTGCAAAAACATTATCAATTTGATTTGATAATGTCTAGTAGCACGTTTTACTGTCACTGATTAATTTTACTTGCTCTACTTTATTGAGCTGTATGTTTGTCTTTCGAACATACATCTGTATATGTATGTATGTTTGTGAGGCCTAACATGTACATATTCAAGTGTGATATTTTCATGCACATAAACAATACTACAACTGATAAGAGGGGCACTATTGCTATTATTATTGTTATTATTATTATTTTTAACACAACTGTTTTGCATTAATGGGAAGAATGAAGCTGGATATTCGAAGATCAAAATTTCTTTAAAATAGTACTACATATTAATTTGTTTTTACTAATAAGCCATTGTGTAGAATGAATTTTTCATTACGATCAAAATTGTCTGGGAATATTCTAATGTTATCAGTATGTTTACTTTCATGATGACTATACTAAAAATATTACGGGTCTCTTTATAATCTAATTGTTTATAATTTGATTACCATAGAACAACGAGTAAATTAAATATATTTAATCTTTTGAGGTCAGTAAAAATTTCTAGACTCTACGAAAACGAAATTCACATGTTGCTTTCGTGCATTAGTCAGCAAACACGTGATCAAATTATAATGAAATTGATAAGGCTTTTTAGGGTTCTGTTTTCACGGGTGCCAAACGGAATATTTATTGTTTCTTCAGTTTGTTTTGCTTAGCCACATTTCGCCTGCTACAAAGCCATTTCAAGAGCTTAAATAACTTCCAGACAGCGCCGATGCAGAGTAGTACGATTACCAGACAGCAGATGTAAATATCGATCGAGTTATACACGAACCAATTGATATTATTGCCCGCGCTCTGTACGAGTGGTGCTCCATTTGTGGCGATTACATGCTCCGTCCACCAGACAGCCAATTTGAGTGGGTCTTGAGGTCTCTCGCGAAATGCAATAGTCGAGCTCTTCATCTGCATAGCAAAGCTGTAAAAGAATTTAGTTATGAGTTATTGTAATACATGATGCTAACTCTAGAGATTTAGAAAATTTCCATCTGATTTTTTTTTTTTGCTCTCCTTCTCCCTGTCTTAAGTTTCTTGGGGTTTCACTTACTAATCATCCAGTATGGTTCTTAAAGCCCGACTTAGATGGTGCTCATCGAAGTTTTTAAATTCTACAATTACTCCAAAGCGTCGCTGAACAACAGCGGCAGCATTCAGAAATTGATCTCCATAGAAGGGCGTTACGAGCAATGGAACGCCACAGTAAATGGACTCCGAGGTGCCTAGCAGACCGCTGTGTGAAACGAAGGCCTTCACTTTCGGATGACACAAGAGATCTCGCTGTGGCAGCCACTCGAAGGTATGTAGATTCTTAGGCTTATTCTCAGGCATTGCTTTCTTTATCCAGCGCATCACGAATGTATAGCGATTCAGATTGGCTATGGTAGAGAGGAGCGCCTGCAGCTTGGGTGCAGATAAAGTGCTGGGATCAACCATTGAGCCCCAGCTGATGTAAATGACGCCCAAGTCGGACTCATCAAATAGAATTTGCAGGTGCTAAGCAGAGAGAAATTATAATAGGTCTGATATATTTATGAAATATACACCTACTTTGGGCAGTGGCTTGGCTGGACCCACGTGGAGACCGCCAACCTCCACGACATTAGCGGTATAGGGAGTTGAGCCGGACAGGGAGTAATGCTGATTGATCAGCATGAGACTCGTGTTCTTCACAATCTCATTGATGGGCGGGAGACCGGGGCCAAAGCGTTCCCTAATTAAAGCATCTGTGGCAGGTTCTGTTATATATCTTAAAAGAGATGACAAGGAATCAAAAAATCATACATTTCCACAAATGTGGTATAAATATACTTATGGAGTGCATTGGCAATATGAAAGTGGAGAAAGTTATTGAGGCGTTCTATAAATCCCATGTGATCTGTGTGGGGCAGAAAGTTCATGGGCATGACTGAGTTGATGTGGGGCGTGCCCAGTGTTTGATAGTGCCAGGACATGATAGCACAGCTGCTCAACGCAATCACAGGCCTACCCAACAGATGGGCAACTGCGGAGAGACAGTCATTGGCGAACTGCTCCAAGATAATGACATCGTAGCGCTGCGACGACTTGAGCAGCTCTGCGATCAGGGGCGAGTGCAAAGCCACCTGGCAGGAGCGCAAACTCCAGTCGTGCAGCATGAAGAAGTTGCCCATTTTCATGGGTATTCCCAAGAAATCAGATTGTTGTTCAATGTTCTGTCGGAAGAGAGAAAGAGTTGAGCTGGGGTGCTGTTTGTATCGACCATATGAATCACATTTACCTTTAGATCCACGAAATCCGTTAGCAGCGGCATGCCCTCAAAGACGTAATCCGTGTAGTTGGCCATTGGCTCCTTCAGCGGAAAGTAACTGTACATGCTGATATTGTGTCCCCGTTCAGCCAGCGCCACAAACAGGGGACGAAAGAAATCAAAGTGACTCTTGCCCGGATGTCCGAACAAGCCGAGTATCTGAGCCGACTCAACACCTGATGGCAGCGGGCCAGAGAGGGCCAAACCTAGCAGCAGCAGCAGCAGCAACCGCAACATGTTGCAGCCACACTGAGCGTATACTTAACTTTACTTCAAGGTCCAGATACGTTTGTATTTGCAAACACAAATTTGCAAACTGAAATCTTTGGTAATCTTATGGTTAGATCGTGACCGGCATTTAGCTATTGTTGCTAGCTTTGTGGTGGTTGCAGTTGCAATTATGTACTGTTGTTTTTTTGTTTTTTTGTTTTCTCGATTGCGGAACGATCAAGTCTGTATTATAGTCGTTTATCTAACGAGTTCTTAAATGCCAAATAAAGGTTGCAAAGTGCATTGTCTTGCAGTTACACTACACGTATGTGTTAAAATATCGCTTGACGCGAAAAGTAATTTGATATAGCGATATAGATTTGGTTTAATAATATATATGGTGTATTATTATTTCCAAGACTGAACTCTTAACTGCTTCAGCCCCAAAAAGTAACTAATCAGTTATGGAAAATAGATAAATTTTTTGTTGAACTGGCAGCAAGTTTTATATCAGCAGAATTATATAGATTAGTTTTGTTGGCACAAAATATTGTTTTGGCTTCATTTTTCGTCGACTTGATTTAAATTAATTTGGTTGGCAAGCAAAACAACTAATTTTAGAATATTATACACTTTGTGGTTTTTCTGTTCTATCAATGTTGTTAGAGAGTTCAATGACGCAATCTGAACTGAACTAATCTTTTTCTTCAAAAACTAGTCTTATATACCTAACATGAGGATCTTAAAGACACTTCCAGGCACTGGAAGGGTACACTTTCCATGCACACATGTTTAGTCAAGTGTCCCTTCATAGTTTGTTGAGCCTTTGTCTATGCTCAGGTTACATTTTATTAGCTGTTGCATTGGTCGCTGCAACTAAGGGATGACTGGAGTCAGGTAACGCTCAGGTTATTGGGTATTACTCTTTGTTTAGTACTTTTGACAGGCTCATACATGAACAATGTTTACTCTAATACTTATTTTGATAGAGCAGAGAAAAGAGAAATGTGTATACATATTTACACACCCACACATGTGTCTACATACAGGCACACAGAAAAACACACAGTTGTATATTCATATATACATACATAGATACCTACTCAGCATACATACATATATACAAGCACTCACACATACACACACACACACATGCAAACTTTGAACTTTAGAAAGCCCTTAAGTTTTTCCTGCACTTTTTGTTGTTTTATTTCTCTAATAACATTTGTGTTTAATTGCAGATTGTAATTAAAATTACTTAATGAATTAATAATACATTATTAATAGTCTCACTTCTCTATATATACAGATGAATGAATGAATGGTATACATATTTACCCTATTTATATATAAGATATAGTCTATGTGTATTAGTTATGTCAGAATTATGTCACTCATCATTT